GTCCTTGCTGTGAAACTAGTTCATGTTGTCTTATCCCCTACAATGAGTGTTTTCTTAAAATACAGAAAGAAAATATTGATCTGGTATCTTTGGTGTGTTTCTGCAGCTCATTCAAATCAGAAATCAGCAGCTGGTTATCCAGATTACTATTGCAAATGGCAAGGTCTGCCTTACTCAGAATGTAGCTGGGAAGACGGTGCTCTCATTGCCAAAAAATTTCAGGCATGTATTGATGAGTATTTTAGCAGAAACCAGTCCAAGACCACTCCATTTAAGGACTTCAAGGTGAGTGTGTAGTTTCAATGGATTTATACAGTTACAATAATTTTAAAAAAACTGTTATATTTTATACATCCAAAATGCATATTATAAAATATTTTTGAATGCTATCCAAAGCAGTAATATTGATAGCTATATTTATATATGTAGGAAGTATTACTATTAAGAATAGCCTTTGGTGTCCCTGCCCATGGCAGAGGGATTGGAACTAGATGATCTTTAAGGTCCCTTCCAACCCAAACCATTCTATGATTCTGTATTTGTTTTCTACTTATTTTATTGCCATTCAAAGATGAAATTGTTTATTACTTTGTTTTAAAAGTAACCTTTGTGAATGAGTTCATGTCACTTCTGTTGTGGAATTTAAATTAGCAAACTAATTTCAGCTTGCAAATGGGTGGATATTGTTATATGGTTGAGATGTCTGTGATGAATAAAGACTAGACTTGGTGACCAAACAGAATCCTACTGCTACTTTGTTTCTATAAGAAGACATTTTGGTAACTTAGTAGTAGGACTGATGCTCAATTTGCTTTTGACAGATTTTAAAACAGAGACCGAGGTTTGTTGCGCTAAAGAAGCAACCATCTTATATTGGAGGACATGAAGGTTTAGAGTTAAGAGATTATCAGTTAAATGGACTGAACTGGCTTGCTCACTCGTGGTGCAAGTAAGTAGTCTTAAATTGGTCTTCCTGTTTATAACTTGAAAACATTTATAAATTTTGTTTGTTTGTTTGTTTTTTAGAGGAAATAGTTGTATTCTTGCAGATGAAATGGGTCTGGGTAAAACAATACAAACAATTTCTTTTCTGAACTACCTGTTTCACGAACATCAACTGTATGGGCCTTTCTTGCTAGTCGTGCCACTTTCTACCTTGACATCTTGGCAAAGAGAAATTCAAACTTGGGCTCCTCAGATGAATGCTGTGGTTTACTTAGGAGATATAACTAGCAGAAATACGGTGAGTATTTCTTTGTATCATTGAAAAAGATTAGCAGTAAACAAGACTCGCTTCATGTTCCTGTCTTATACTAATCTCCAATATTTTGATTAGGAATGAGAAAATAATTAACTGAATAATTGCATATGGTTAAAATGCAAATTAAAAGCATAAATTTTAATCTGATATGAATGAATGTGAAAAATTTCATTCCTACTTAGTAATAAAAAGGATTAAAAATGCAACCTTGCATGTGAAAATAAATTGTCCTTTGTCATGAGATTATTTAGGTGAGTAAAATAAACATTTAAGACAGACAGACATAATTTTAATTTGTTTCCTGAAAGGAGGAATATAAGTAACATTATCCATTAAAGTTTAAAAAACAACAACAAAAAAAACCCCCACCCAATCACAAAAAAAACCAAAACACACACACAAAGAAATCCACAAAAAACCCCAACCAAACAAAACCCAACAAACATCCCCCCCATTTAATAACTTAAAAAAAAAAAAAGCTACATGTGTTATGTTCCTTTTTCATGATCAGATTCTTGTATGTCACTTAACATCTATATTGCTATAGTACCTGAAGTCATCCTGATTAATAAGACCATTTTTCTCTAGCTTATAGTTTGCTTGATTCTTCTTGTAGATAAGAACTCATGAATGGATGCATCCACAGACCAAGCGATTAAAATTTAATATACTTCTAACAACTTATGAAATTTTGCTGAAGGATAAGGTAATCACACTTACTTCTTCAGGGAGATAAAAATAATTTGTGGAATGTAAAATTCCTTTAGAGTTGACAGATATATTTGGGTTCTGGGTCGTTAAGTGGATGGGGAATATGACAGCTTTCCTCTTGGAAGTATGAAGGTCAAGTTTTCTTTAAGCACTTTTTGATTTTATGTATGTGTGGTGAGATTTTCTGCCCCCTCCCTTCCCCCCCATATCAAGTGGGTAAAACTTGGTTTTCTTCAGTTTGTTTGTGCTTCACACTGCTGTAGTAATTTCTTTGTATCTCAAAATCTCTACTTTCCTGTTAGACAGTCACCCAGGAACTGAAGAAACAAACCAGTCCCTAGCCCCAAACACCTGTGATTCACAACTCTGAAATCCCATGCTTTTTCTTTGTATTTGTGTGTGCATTATTACATATATCTATATTACTACTCTCTTTGTGATGGTAGTACATAGAGTTATTGTTAATCCTAACAGCATATGATAATTATAATAAAGTTCTGCTTGTTAACTTTCATTTGTTTGTACATGCTGAAGAGAGTCAATAGTGGATTTTTGTGGATTGGGGTTTTTTTGTCAATGGAAAATTTATAGATCAGCTTTTTGCCTTCCT